ATGGAGACCTGTCCAGGTGTCTGTTTAGTGTTGTTTGTAAATATATTTGACAGTTTTGTAGGAATGAACACGTTTGTAATGTTTGTTCAAAATAAACCTGCTTCTTATGACTTCTGTAACATGTTTTGAATAACATATTATCAGTAAAAAACCTCAAATCATGTCCTTTCTAAGAATTAGAACTCTCTTGTAGATATAAAGGATAACATTTAGAAAATGCAATTATGCAACTATCAAAAAACTTCCTCTCAGTCACTGAAAACAATTTATTTACCACATTTTAAAGACCGGTTATTATCTGGGCCCTTAAGGGTTAATGTTCCTGAACAGGACTGTCTGTCTGACCGGCAGTGTGAGAGAGAGAGGAGAGGAGAGGACAGGACAGGACAGGAGAGGAGCAGCTCAGCTCAGCTCCATGTTTGAGTCCAGTAGGACCTGTACAGCAGCTAATTCTGTCTGGATTTGAGTTTACAAACTACTCTGGTTACTTTTTTCAAAGTTGAGGACCATTACAGCTGCGCTGCTGATCAGCGCTGTTTATACAACATGAACGGACTCGCGGGAACCTGGTCGCATGCAGGGCCTGTGTTGGTGATTCTAAATTATTGATAAGGTAACAATGCTGTGGCTTCACCTGTCGCATTTTATTTTAAAGAAAAAAAAAGTAGCTTGCAAAGTTGTCGCATCGGTGCTACATGATTAAAAGCAGAGTTTTCATCAAGTGCACACACACGTCTTCCTATCTTTGTGAGGACCACAGACAGCACTCAGCCTCGCTCTGCGCCGTCTTTTTTCCCCAAGTTTGGCCGGAGGTGGATTTGGAGGGGTGCAAAAAAATAGCTCTGGACTTGATCTGGACTTATTTAAATAAAAATGACTACATGCCGAGAAATTCTTAGAGGGGTGGGCCGTCTCATTGGCGGTGGGGGGCCCGGCTCGGCCCAGCCCGGCCCGGCCCGCCCCGCCTGTATAATGGTAGGGGAAACACTGGTTCAGAGAACTATTCTTGTGCCTGACCTGTTTGAATTTATTATTTTATGTCTTTAAGACATSCTTGTAGTTTMARTAAYTGATTAGATTMATCAGGTTTCATTGATAAATATAACTGAGTATCATCAGCATAACAATGGACATGTATCCCATGCTGTTTGATAACTATCTAATAAAAGTATAACCTGCATTTAGTCAATTAATTTTTTTTGTGGGCCCACTTCCTGTCTTTAAAATTATGGGTCACATTTTACTTCCTGCTCCGTCTCCACTGTGGTGTGCTCTGTTGGGGTCTTCCCAAACAAACGAGTACTTCTGCATTTTCAAACTCGACTACCATGAGCTGGTGAAGCTGCTTATTTAAAACTCCACTTTAGACCTGGAAACAATATTTTCTAACTCGGCTCTTTTGTTTTCTTTTTGCTGCCTTGGTTTTCAATCTGTAGRCCCAAACTGAAACTACTGCCTCCTGTTTTCATTCACACCTCGGGGTCATTTCTAAAACAGTCTTCTGATGCTGCCTTTGTGGCCGCAGTCAGCTGCGTAGACTTCTATATGTCACAGAAACAAAGATAAAGTAAAGAGGATTGGTCCAAACACTGAACCCTGAGGGACTCCATGAATAACTCCGGTGTAAGACTCCTTATTAACATTTACAAACGAGTACAAGTTAGAAAAGTGAGGCTGCGATGGTTTGGACATGTTCAGAGGAGGGATGATGAACATATTGGACAGAAGATGTTGAATATTTAAAGTTTTAAAAGAGGATCTGCAGAAGGTAAAGTATCTTTCATCTCATCATCCTTCTGTGTCTTCAGGTGTCAGCGATGCATCAGGGCCGGCTGTGGATGGAGAGGCAACAGCTGCTCCTGGGCCAGTCAACAAGTGCAGAATGTACTGAAACATTTTCATGTTTTATCAAATTCAGACTTTTCAGCATTTATCTCAAACCAAGGCAAAAGAGTGAGGCCAAAAGGCCAAAACACAGCAACTTATTTCTCGCTTCCTCCTTCAGGAAACAGTTTGCCAAAACGTGGAGCCTGAGACGACCTCTCCTGTGAGTTTGACCCTTTAATCTTAAACACATTCAGCGTCATGTTGCTGTTGTCGTGTGTCCAAGCACTTTTGTGTTATTTTGACAGAGGCCTGAGATCTCCTCCATCACTCCCAGCATCGTGTCTTTCTACGGCAGAAACCACGCTTTGCTGTTGGGTCAGAACCTCCAGGATGTGGTCGGCGTGAGGATCCAGGCAGATATGAACTGTAACTCACAGGAGTGAGTCTGCAGGAAGAGATAACACTTTACAGATTCAGATCTGACTCTAACCTCTGTCAAAAATAGATTTTCTTTTTCAGCTTTCCAGCTTTTCCAATTGTGAGTTTCAGATTCAGTGTGACTGTTTGTTCTCTTTGTGGTCAGATCTTCTGTGTGGAACAACACCGGTGAGAGTCTGACCTTCCACATTCCCAGAACTGAAACTAAAGGTGTGGTCAAAGTGTGCGCTCTCCTCGCAGACGGCAGCTGCCACAGCAGCGCTACAATCGCCTACCAGTCGTCACCTGTCTGCACCGACATCCAACCAAACAGCACCTGGATCAGGTAAACCACACATCTGTACACAGTACCATGCACTGAGGTCCAAGCAGAAAAGGTATCTTCTTTTTATGGAATTATCAATATGTTTGTTCTTATTGGTAGAAATACATTAAACACACAGGTACATACAGGATATAACAAAGGGTACATAACAGAGGTCCTTGCAGAGTATATTACCACACAAGTACCCTTGTAAGTCCTCATGCATTACATTATTACCACCAGGTAAACAACCCCATAATTACCCTATATATTAGATATATATTACACTGTGAACACTCTGTAAATTATCCAGTAAACTACCTGGTATGTTACCTATATTTACCCTGTAAGTTACCCTGTACCTACCCTGTAGGTTACCCCACATGTACCCTGTAAGTTACCCTGTAAGTACCCCTTTACGTACCCTGTATATTACCCCATCATTACTCCTTAAGTTACCTCGTATGTACCCAGTAGGTTACCTAGTACCATATGTACCATATTTTTTACTTTATGATTTACCTCATATCTACCCCATTATTCTGTATGTACCCTGTATTTTACCCYATGTTATCCTGTACCCTGTATTTTACCCCATTATCCTGTACCCTGTATTTTACCTCATGTTATCCTGTACGTACCCTCTATTTCATCTCGTTATCCTGTACGTACCCTGTATTTTATCTCGTTATCCTGTACGCACCCTGTATTTTGCCCCATGTTATCTAGTACATACCCTGTATTTTAACTCACGATATCCCATACGTACCCTGTATTTTACTCCATGTTATCCAGTATGTACCTTGTATTTTACCGCAAGTAATCCTGTACGTACCCTGTATTTTACCTCATGTTAACCTATTCGTACCCTGTATTTTACCTCGTTATCCTGTACGTACCCAGTTTTTTTCCCTATGTTATCTTGTACATACCCTGTATTTTACCCCATGTTATCCTGTAAGTACCCTGTATTTTACCCCATGTTATCCTGTACGTACCCTGTATTTTACCCCATGTTATCCTGTACGTACCCTGTATTTTACCCCATGTTATCCTGTACGTACCCTGTATTTCACCTTGTTATCCTTTACATACCCTGTATTTTACCTCGTTATCTCATACGTACCCTGTTCTTTACCCCATCTTACCTGTATGTACCCTGTATTTCACCTTATGTTGTCCTTTACATACCCTGTATTTTACCTCATTATCTCGTATGTACCCTGTATTTTACCCCATGTTATCCTGTACWTACCCTGTATTTTACCCCATGTTATCCTGTACATACCCTGTATTTTATCTCATCCTGTATGTGACCTGTATTTTACCTCGTTATCCTGTACGTATGCTGTATTTTATCTCGTTATCCTGTACGTACCTGTATTTTATCTCATGTTATCCTGTACGTACCTGTATTTTAACTCATGTTACCCTGCATGTACCCTATATGGTAAACCTTAAGTTACCCTGTATTTTACACCTTCATTAATCGGTAATTATTATTTATTATTTATTATTATTTATTATTTATTATTGGTAATTATTGTATGAACTATTTTCTTATCTGTTTTTACAACGGTCCACACCTTTCACTGAAGTCAGTTGTCAGAAACAGTTTTAGTAACGGCTGCAGCTATAAGAGGATTAGCTGCTAGAGAAAGATCCACTTCCTAAAAGTGTATTTTTAACACTTCTCTTTTTTTGGTGCAACTGAAGGTGCTGCCTTATCTTCTAACACCACAGTGTTCCTACATACTTGAAGAGCAAAGTAGTTCTTTTTCAAATCCATCGATACTGTGGAACTTAAAAGGATTATTTATGAACATAAACCTGTTAAAGTTTGATTTAAAGGTGGATGAGTAAGATTGTTGGCTGCTTTTGTTACTGGCATCACCAGATGGAGTCTTTATGGACTCATTCTAACAYAAAGACAAAATAGTTTATTTTTCTGTTTGGTTTTATTGAACTGAAACTTCCACGTGCAGGATCCTCAGTTCTTTATTTGACTGGTTTCTGCAGTGGGAGGAGGGCACTCACAATCATTGGGACCCACCTGGATTTTGTGGAAGGGGTGACACATGACCACGCCCTTCAGCAAGTTATTCTTCCCAGGAAAAGCAGCTTTCAGGTAAACCTGCACAGATCTCAGATTAATCTCCATTAATCCTGAGTAACTCTGAATTTAACCACGTTTAAATCGGTTGCAGAATCTCACCTATGAAACACCTGCAGCTGAAAACACTCGAATTTCCAGCCAATCGGTGTATTTAAAAGTAGCCAATCAGACGTTGCCCTGCTCCGTAAAAATCACCTACCACCCAGACCCGGAGTTCACCAGCTTCACCGCTACGCAGGTCGGAGATGACATCCAAATCGTTATTCAGGTAGGCCTCGTCTAAAGCTCTCACTCATCACTACGTCCATTTGGACATTTATTATTAAAAGATGTTTGTTCTTTCAGAAAAAGGCAGATCAGCTGAATATAACGAAGGACGAGTTGCTGGTGTGGGCCGTCCAGGATGGGAACCAACATCCCTGCATCATGAAGGACAAAGAAAGCAGCAACAAAACCGAGTCTTTTACCTGCGATATCTCAAGAATACACAACGGTAACATCAAGGAGTTAAAGGTAATTCTTCATTTATAGTTATAATTATTGTAATAATTAGTAAATCCATCGACTGGACCTTAACGCAGGACTGATCAGACATAATTTCACAGCAAAAACCCATGAAAAAACAGAACTTGGAACTGAAAAACAAACTGCAACAGATAATTCCTGCCAACTGTGACACAGATCTTCATGACACAGGAAACCAGAGGTACTCTGCTCTGTTAGAAATTGTGTTGCAATCAGGAAACTAGACGTGCAAACACTAATAGAACCAGAACAGAAAGTGAGCAAAGCAGGATTAAGGTCAGTTTATCAAATATGATCAATATGTCCAACACGTTGAAGATGACAAGAACAAAGTTTGATGAAAATGTTCTTTTGTTCTTGCACCTATATGTGTCCCAAACTAACCAGTTTTATGATACAAGCCGCCTCTCTGACAGTTTGTTTTTGCTATGAGTCAAGATCTAAACTCTGGGGAAAGGATCAGTGTTGTGCTCGCAGTTGTTTATTTTAAACTTCCTCTTTCTTTAAGGACTGAGCAATGGGTCAGAACTTTGTGGGCGTGTTCATACAGAAAAAGCAGCTGAAGTGTACTGCTCTGTTAATGAGCAGCTGGCTCAGGCTGTTAGAAAATACAGCCATCTTTACAACACTTCCAGCAAAGAACTTAGAAGGAGACAGTGTGGAGACACAGGCGGCTCTCCGAAGACGGACGCTCCTGAACCGTCTCAGTTTATTAGAGATGGTTAACTTCAGAAATACCAGATCTCACAACCTGTGTGAGCGAGAACAGACGTCTAACGTCTGTGAAGAAGGTTGCATGTTTTTCCCGTGCATGTGTTCAGTTTCTCCAGTTGCTTCAGCTAATTGACTTTGGCTAACAGAAATGCCTTTAAGTCAGTTAGTTTCACATATATGGAGCTAAACTTTGTTTTGGTAGTAGCTAAAAGTCATCCCAACACACTTTGAACACCAACAGATTGCGCGACATCTTGGTTTGAAGAGTTCTTTAAGCATATTCTTGATAACACTGAATTTTTTCACCACAGATGGTTCCAAAAAAGCCTAAAAATATATAAAGTCAGCTTGAAAATGTATTTATTATCTTTTTTCACACTCCGGATGTTGTCTTTTTCAGATCCAGTACGGAGGTCAGCTCAAAAACCTGAAGAACTCAGATTCACTGCTGATTGTTATGCTGCTTCTTCTGCTGCTGATTCCCGTCATCGTCATCGGTGAGAGCTCGAGAAATCCCCGCCGTTAAGTGTTTTTTCTCCCACAACCACAAGTTTTATGTCCGATCCCTTTTCAGTTGTAGTGTTTGTTTACCGAAGCAAACAGAAGCAGTTCACAGAGAAGATGAACAAGAGGATGGAGGACATCGAGATCGGCATCAGAAACGACATCAGACAAGGTCGGTCCTGTCGTGACACGTGCTCTGAGTCCAGATTCAAATCAATGGCTTTGGTTTTCCTTCCACAGGTTTTGTGGATCTGCAGACGGAGAAAGCTGACCTGATGGAGAACGTTGGAGCCATTCCTTTCCTGGACTACAAACACTTTGCTTCCAGGATCTTTTTTCCTGAGGTGAAACTGCAGAAACTGTAAAACCACAGAATCAGGGATAGTTTGGTTTGATGTAACGGTTATTTTTTGTTTTTTTCAGAGTGAACCTTTGATAGCGCTGTGCGTCAAAGACATCGGTCAGGTGAGGTCTGGCAGCAACTTCGGCTGTTTGGCAGGTTTTTTTTTTTTTTTTTTTTTTTTTTTTTTTGAGAAGTGAAGTATTTTCGTGTCTGATGTGGATCCAGGATGTGCAGACGGTTCAGCTGGATGAGTGCTGTCAGGGTTTGTCGCAGCTGATCCAGAACCAGTTGTTCCTCACCACCATGGTGCACGCCTTGGAGGAGCAGAAAAGCTTCAACGTCAAAGACAAGTAAGTTTCTCCTGCAGAGTCATGTCCCACTCTGACCCTGCATGATGACACTTTCTGTTCTGCTTTTTTAAATAAGTCAGGGCTTTTATACAGTTTCTATCCTCTTATCATAGTTACTATTTTAGGCTTTTATTATGATTTGGATCGTTCTTTTCACAGCGTAGAATAAAACTACAACAACCGACTTCAGTGATGTTAAAAACATGATTTATGATTTTAAAATATCTTTAAAATCCAGGATCTTTAATTTAACCAGTTTCACACAAGAACGAGTTATTTGAATGGGTCTCCAGGTCTAGAAGGGGTCCAAACTGAATGACACTCCTGCTTGATGACTGAGGAGAACCTGGTTGTTGTGTTCCAGGTGCTCGCTGGCGTCTCTGCTCACCGTGGCGCTCCACAGCGACCTGTCGTACCTGACGGAGGTGATGGAGGTCCTGCTGAAGGACCTGATGCAGCAGAACAGCAACGCTCAGCCCAAACTGCTGCTGAGACGCACCGAGTCCACTGTGGAGAAGCTGCTGACCAACTGGATGTCCATCTGCCTCTACGGCTTCCTGCGGGTCTGTTGTCCTGAAAACACTTCGGCTGTTCTGTAGAGACGAACCGGTCCAGTTTTTTAGAGAACAGAATCTGTTCTAAACCAGAACAAGTCCGATGAGCACCAGTAAGGTTGTTTTTGATGAAAATACAGCCACCAGCTAAAAGCTGAATATAGTAAAATTATAGCTAAGAGCTAAATGTAGCAAAAGGCTAACTAAAACTTTAAGGTAGCAGAAGGCTAGTTACATGTAATCAAACAGTAGCTGGAAGCTAAATGTAGCAAAAGACTAGCTAATACCTAAAGAATAGCAAAATACTAGTTAAAAGTAATAAAACAGTAGCCAAAAGCTAAATGTAGCAAAAGGCTAGCTAAAACTTAAAAGTAGCAGAAGACTAGTTACATGTAATCAAACAGTAGCTGGAAGCTAAATGTAGCAAAAGGCTAGCTAATTCCTAAAGAATAGCAAAATACTAGTTAAAAGTAATAAAACAGTAGCCAAAAGCTAAAGGTAACAAAAGGCTAGTTACTGAAAATGCTACCTAGATATTAAAAGTAACCACGGACTGAATGTTAAAAGTAGCAGAAGGCTAACTGAAAGCTAACAATATCATGTAGCTAAGGGAAAGTATGTTAATGCTAGCTAAAGTAGCTAAGTCTATCAAAATACAAAAAGTTTAACTAGAAGCTTAAAGTAGTAAAAAGCTAGCTATAAGTAGCAATAGGGTGGCTAAACCTAGAAGTAGCAAAAGACTAAAAGAAAAAAGTGGCTAGAGGCTAAAGGTAGCAAAAGGCTAGCTAAGACCTAAAAGTAGGAAAATCCTATTTGATTGCTGCAGGTAGCCAGACTAGTTGAAAGTTGCAAAAGTTTAACTGATGGCCAAAAGTAGCAGAAGGTTAACTAAAAGCTAATGATAGCAAAAGTATAGGAAAAAGTATTTAATACTAGCTGACAACTGAAAGTATCAAAAGGCTATTCAAAAGATAAAGCTAGCTAAATGTTTTAAATGGGTAGTTATATGTAGCAAAATGGTAGCTAAATGTAGCAGAGTGGTAGCTAAAAATTATCTTTTTTTATTATTATTTTATTGCACCGTTCTTAAAAAACTGTGGATTAGGAAGAGAAGTTAATGTTAGTTTTCTGTAGAAACGTTGTTCATGCTTTAGTTCAGACAAACAAGCTGAAGTRAGCAGTTTGTTTCTGAGCTGCAGGGTGAAAAGGTTTAGCTGATCTGATCTGCTGCTTGTCAGATGCAGAACTTTGAGAGTGACTCGCTGTCTTCTAATATTTCAGATAAGATCTTCATCTTTGTGGGGTTGGGGGTGGGGTGTCTTGTCTTCTAAAATAAACTCTGAAACATGAAGTTTGCTGTCTGTGCAGGAAAGTGTGGGCCAGCACCTGTTCCTGCTGGTGAGCGCTCTGACGCAGCAGGTCTCTAAGGGTCCAGTGGACTGTGTGACGGAGAAGGCTCTGTACACGCTGAGCGAGGACTGGCTGCTGTGGCAGGCACAGGACTTCAGCTCCTTGGTACGAACGTGATGCACAGCCCTGACACCTGATTATTATTAACCTGGTTATTAACTTTTTTTTATATTAAAAAAATAACCTAGTTATTAACTTGAATAATCTGATTACTAACCTGGTTTTTAACCTGACTATTAACCTAGTTATTAACCTGAATAACCAGATTAATAACCTGGTTTTTAACCTGATTAACCAATTTAATAACATGATTATTAACCTGGTTATTAACCTGAATAACCTGATTATTGACCTGATAAATAACCTGATTAACCCGTTTAATAACCTGATTATTAACCTGGTTACTAACCTGAGAAATATTAACCTGATTATTAACTTAAAAAACCTGATTATTAACCTGATTATTAACCTGGTTACTAACCTGAGAAATATTAACCTGATTATTAACTTAAAAAACCTGATTATTAACCTGATTATTAACCTGGTTACTAACCTGAGAAATATTAACCTGGTTATTAACTTAAAAAACCTGATTATTAACCTGGTTATTAACTTGAATAACCTGATTATTAACTTCAATAACCTGATTGTTAACCTGATAAATAACCTGATTATTAATCTGATTATTAACCTGGTTATAACCTGAATAATCTGATTATTAACCTGGTTATTAAACCCACTAACAAGAAGCTCCTTCATTGCTCTCTGACTGCAGGTTTACTTGTGGTTCCTAGAGCTTCTAAAGTAGAACAGGAAGCAGATGTGATTTTTTTTTTTTTTTTTTTTTGCTTGGAGACCATTATTATACATTAGTGTTTAAAAATAAACTAAATAAAGACAGTCAAAGCTGAAATAAGTTATGTTTGTGTGAAGAAAGTGAAGTTGTTTGTCAGAAGAGGTGCTAAACTCTGCAGATCATTATTATGTAACTATTTTAGCGCTCAGACCCTCAGCTTCTGCTTTCATTAACACTTCCTGATTCTCTGTTCTGGTTTTTATCTTAATTTGAATTTTTTTCTTTTTTTTTTTTGTTTGGCTTCTGATTTGTTCAAAACAAACCTGCAGTTTGTCTCCATTACAAACTTTACAGCTTGAGCATCTGTAAACATCTTAATCTGTTAAATCCATCACTGATGGTGACTTCCTTCCTTCTGCTTTGAGTTTGCAGCTCTAAAATACTCACTGCCTTTTAAACTATTTTTAAAGTTAAGAAATCTAAAAGTTTTATTTGGGGCAGCGTCACATCAGAGGTTTTCAGTACTCTGAGGTTTAATCAGGAAAACATCATGTTTAGGATTGTAGCTGTTCAGGACAGATCTATAAGATTAAAGCTCGGCCTGTCAGGTGTTTGTTGGAGGCTCTATAGTGACTGGAAGTAGCTGCTGAAGCTGTGAAAGCTGCTCACTTTGTTTTCTGCACATCAGCAGCTCTTTTTATTAAATGTTTCTTCTGCTTCTGCAGCTCTGTGTCACTAAAAGATCCAAGTCTGAACTTCTTCTTCAGTTGCGGGAACATCTCAGAAAAAAAAAATGTTAAAAAAAAAAAAGAAAAAAGAGCTGTAACAAAGCTTTTTAAAACCGAAGGTTGAAAATCACTGAAGTAGCTAAAACTGAGTTATTCAAGCTCGAAGAGGAAGAACACGAGCTAAGAGCTAAAACAATGTAGCAGGAATTTGAATGTAGCAAAACTCAGAGGAGCAATAGGTTGGAGTTTCTAAAGACCAAAAACATAAAGAGTAGCTAAAACCTAAATGTAGGAAAAGACTAGTTATGTTGTAAAAGTAAGTAAAGCTAACTAAAAAATAAAACAAGCAACAATCTTAAAAGCCTAAATTTAAAAAATGGTAGCCACAAGCTAAAAAGACCATATAATGACTAAAAGTAGCAAAATGCTAGCTTAGAGGAGCAAAAAGATGGGTAAAAAGTAAAATTGTAGTTAAAAGCAAAAGAGAGAAAACTAGAAATTGCTAATGGGTAGCTAAAACTAGCAAAAGGCTAGTTTTATTCTAATGTAGGAAAAACTTCAAATTAAACTAAGCAAAACACTATGAGTCGAGATCAACAAAATGGTAGCAACAAGCTAAAATAGCTAAAGGCAAGCTGAAAAAGAACTAGCTAAAAGGAACAAAACGTATCTAAAAGATGTAAAAAGGTAGCTAAAAGAGTTCAAAGTTGAAAACTAAAAAAAACAAAAAGGTAGTTAGAATTTTAAAGTAGCTAAAGGTAGCTAAAATTAGCAAAAAGCTAGCTATATTTTAATGTACTAAAAGCTAACTAAAAACTGAAATAAGCAAAACACTAGCTAAACACTAGTTAAAGAAATAAGTAGCTGAAAAATAAAAATAGAAAAAAGGGAAGGCAAAATATCAAAAGCCTGGATAGAAGCAAAACTATAGCTAAAATGCCAAGGCTAAAAGAAGCATTAGAAGCTAAAACTAGCACAAGAAGCTAAAGGCAAGTTAAAGGTTAAAATTGACAAAACACGAGTTAAAGGAGCAATAACGTAAAAGATAAGAAGTAGCTAAAAGTAGTTGAAAGCAAAAGAGTAGCTAAAAAGTAGCATAAAGGAAGCTAAAGATGAAAAGTAGCTAAACATATGAAAACAATATGTAAAAATATAAAAAGTATTATAAGCTAAAATCATATCTGAAGCAGATTTAAACAGCTAAACGTACACAGAAGCAGATTGCAGTAACCATATATTTAAGAGCAGTGTAATGTTTTTATTTTATATTTAATTCATCCCTCTGTGAAGCAGTGTGAACATGTGAAGCAGTGTGGACGTGAAACAGTGTGAACACGTGAAGCAGTGTGGACATGTGAAACAGCTGTGAACACGTGAAGCAGTGTGAAGACGTGAAGCAGCTGTGAAGACGTGAAGCAGCTGTGAACACGTGAAGCAGCTGTGAACACGTGAAGCAGATGTGAACACGTGAAGCAGAGTGAACACGTGAAGCAGAGTGAACACGTGAAGCAGCTGTGAACACGTGAAGCAGCTGTGAACACGTGAAGCAGTGTGAACACGTGAAGCAGTGTGTACACGTGAAGCAGTGTGTACACGTGAAGCAGCTGTGAAGACGTGAAGCAGCTGTGAAGACGTGAAGCAGATGTGAACACCTGAAGCAGTGTGAACACGTGAAGCAGATGTGAACACCTGAAGCAGTGTGAACACGTGAAGCAGTGTGAACACGTGAAGCAGACACGTGGAGCAGACGTGAACACGTGGAGCAGACGTGAACACGTGAAGCAGACGTGAACACGTGGAGCAGCGTGAACACGTGAAGCAGCTGTGAACACGTGAAGCAGCATGAACACGTGAAGCAGCTGTGAACACGTGAAGCAGCTGTGAACACGTGAAGCAGATGTGAACACGTGAAGCAGAGTGAACACGTGAAGCAGCTGTGAACACGTGAAGCAGCTGTGAACACGTGAAGCAGACGTGAACACGTGAAGCAGTGTGAACACGTGAAGCAGATGTGAACACGTGAAGCAGATGTGAACACGTGAAGCAGTGTGAACACGTGAAGCAGATGTGAACATGTGAAGCAGTGTGAACATGTGAACATGTCTGCGGTGTGTTTCCTGTCTGCAGAAGCTGAAGGTGCTGTTCGCTGTGGGCAGTGACGGCGGGGTGAGCGAGCCTCTGGAGGTGAACGCTCTCAGCTGCGACACGGTGGAGCAGCTGAAAGAAAAGATCCTGTCCTCCTTCAAAACCAAGTTCGGTTTCCCGTACGGCAGCGGGCTCAGAGACGTCTGGGTCGGTGAGTCTCCGCAGGTAAACCAGGTCCGACGCTCTCTTAGATTCAGAACTTTGGATTTCTTCTTCCAGAGTACGAGAAGGACGGGCGTTTCCTTCCTCTTCAGGACGTGGATTCCAGCTCGGAGGTCATCGGGGACGTGACGAAGCTCAACACGCTGTGGCACTACCAGGTGAGAGAAAACCGGACCTCAGGTTGGGTCTTTGGTGGGCCTCGAGTTAGTCCTTTAAAATGAACTTCTACTTTCTTTACTGTGACGTTTGCAGTCAACACAAAGCTTCTCCTGGTAGCAACAATAAAAGGATTTTGCTGAGTAAACAGCCTGGCAGTGACAGGAAATGGAAGATTTTCCTCTTGCTGAACAGAAGATGAGGATTTTATTATAAAGAGAAACACATAATGGATCAAAGTTGCTAGTTGCTAATGGCTTCATAATGAGATGAGAGATGTGCATCCATCAGTGGAAATGGGATCTGAAAGCTGCAGACGGTGGGTCTGTCCACTGAGCTGTCTGTCCTCCTGCAGGTTACAGACGGAGCAACAATCAAGCTGTTTTCAAAAAAAGTTCATCCTCCTCTGAGCCCACAGAGCAGTCTGAAAGGTAAGAACTGAGCATCTGAAAAGATTTTCAAGTGTTGCCAATAATACAGTTGGAATATATATATTTACACTCACCGGCCACGTTATCAGGTACACCTTCCTAGTACCAAGTTGGACCTCTTTTTGCTTTCAGAACTGCTTTAATCCTTGGTGGCATAGATTCAACAAGGTACTGGAAACATTCCTCAGAGAGTCTGGTCCATATTGACATGATGGCATCACACAGTTGCTGCAGATTTGTCGGCTGCACATCCATGATGTGAATCTCCTGTTCCACCACATCCCAAAGGTGCTCTATTGGATTGACATCTGGTGACTGTGGAGGCCATTCCAGTATGGTGAACTCATTGCTGTGTTCAAGAAACCAGTCTGAGATGATTCATGCTTTATGACATGGAGCGTTATCCTGCTAGAAGTAGCCATCAGAAGATGGTACACTGTGGTCAAAAAGAGATGGACATGATCTGAAGATGGTACACTGTGGTCATAAAGGAATGGACATGATCTGAAGATGGTACACTGTGGTCATAAAAGGGATGGACATGATCTGAAGATGGTACACTGTGGTCATAAAGGGATGGACATGATCTGAAGATGGTACACTGTGGTCATAAAGGGATGGACATGGTCAGCAGCACTACTCAGGTAGTCTGTGGTGTTGACACGATGCTCAGTTGGTACTAATGAACCCAAAGTGTGCCAGGAAAATATCCCCCACACCATTGCACCATCACCACCAGCCTGAACCATTGATACAAGGCAGGATGGATCCATGCCTTCATGTTGTTGATGCCAAATTCTGACCCTACCATCTGAACGTTGCAGCAGAAATCGAGACTCATCAGACCACGCAATGTTTTTCAATCTTCTATTGTCCAGTTTTGGTGAGTCTGTGTCAATTGTAGCCTCAGTTTCCTGTTCTTTGCTGACAGGAGTGGCACCCGGTGTGGTCTTCTGCTGCTGTAGCCCATCTGCCTCAAGGTTTGACATGTTGTGCCTTCAGAGCTGCTCTTCTGCCTCGATTGTAACCAGTGGTTATTTGAGTTACTGTTGCAGTTCTATCAGCTCCAACCAGTCTGGCCATTCTCCTCTGACCTCTGGCATCAACAAGACATTTACACCCACAGAACCACACTCACTGGATATTTTCTCTTTTCCGGGCTATTCTCTGTAAACCCTAGAGATGGTTGTGCGTGAAAATCCCAGTAGATCAGCAGCTTCTGAAATACTCAGACCAGTCCATCTGGCACCAACAACCATGCCACATTCAAAGTCACTTAAATCACATTTCTTCCCCATTCTGATGCTCGGTTTGAACTGCAGCAGATCATCTTGGCCATGTGCCTAAATGCATTGAGTTGCTACCTTGTGATTGGCTGATGTGGCATTTGCGATAGGGATGTCCCAATCCAGATTTTTTTGGCTCCCAATACTGATCCGATAGCTTTATATTTTTATTTCTTTCCAAGTGACAAGGTTGGTAGTATTAAAGCGAGTCTTGCTGTTCCCACCACAAGAAACATCCAGTTTGCAGATTTTACAAGATGCAGCTTCAGCATTGTTTTCCATTGAAAAGTGTTCCCACACTGTGGACATGGTTGCATACTGGTGTGCGTCTTGACTTCTTAATGGCAGTTGTAAAGCATGATGATGCTGAAAACTGTCGATCGTCCCGATCACATAACTAAATCTGATTCTTCCCAATTTTCAAAAAATGTCCATATCTGCCATCGATACTGAGTATCTGATCAGGACATCCCTAATTTGCAATATGAGCAGTTGGACAGGTGTACCTAATAAAGTGGCCGGTGAGTGTATATGTGGTATATATATTTAACTGTGAACAATTTATATATTATATGGTAACAGAACATTTCTGTTTGCTGCAGACTAGGGCTGCCAGAAACTTATTTTTATAGTCGATTAATCACTGATTAATTTTTTCGATTAGTCGACTAATCAGATCATACGTTAATTGAATATAAAACATACAGTAAAAAAATAAAACTACTAATCAACTATTAAATTAGTTGTTGACTGTTTCAATAGTCTATTAGTCATTGACTAGTCGACTAATCATGGCAGCCCTACTACAGACTGAAAATTCTGTTGGAGTAAAGTGTTATTATTTTGGGTTTGAATTTTTGTTTTATTTCTGTTCTTTGTTTCTCTCTAGATGATGTGAACTTCTCTAGAAAATACTTCCACTTGGTAAGACCCAGTTCTCTGTAAAAATCCATCTAAACCCTGCAGTTAATAAAAGCTGCTCTGTGGTCTGGTGGTTTAGATCGATCCTGATGAAGACGAGGCTCAAACCACGAATCCAGAGAAGAAGAAGTTAAAACTGAAGGAGCTTCACCTCACTAAGCTGCTGTCCACCAAGGTAAGAGGAACCGGTCCGAGCACCAAGAACTGGGACCAGTTTCAGAGGAGGAGGTTCTGCTTTTCTTCTGGTTTGAAGATGAAGCGTGTTTGTGTTGAAGGTGGCCGTTCACACGTACGTGGAGAACCTCTTCAGGTCCATCTGGACCCAGAGCAGAGCGCCGCACGCCGTTAAATACTTCTTCGACTTCCTGGACTCTCAGGCGGACAACATGAAGATCACCGACCCGGACGTTCGACACATCTGGAAGACCAACAGGTACGTCTGGATTTCCTGAACCTGTTGTTGGATCTGAGTCTGAAACTGTTTGTCCTCCATGGACGCCAGCCTGCCGCTGCGCTTCTGGATCAACATCCTGAAGAACCCCCAGTTTGTTTTTGACCTGGAGAAGACGCCACACGTGGACGCCTGCCTGTCCGTCATCGCTCAGGCCTTCATGGACTCCTTCTCTCTGAGCGACGTTCAGCTGGGGAAGGTAAGGAGCTGCAGGAAGAGCTGCTTCTTCTGAGTGAGGCGGAGTTATCAGAAGTGCTGTGTGTTTCAGCACGCGCCCACCAACAAGCTGCTCTACGCCAAGGACGTCCCCAAGTTCAAACAGGAAGTAAAGGATTACTACAAACAGATCAGAGAGCAGACCACCATCACACACGCCGAGTTCAAGGACTTCCTGCTGGGAGAGTCAAAGGTGACGTCCACTCTTTCCCCAAATAACAGCAAGGTTAGCCTTGTGCTAACATTAGCTTTTAGCTGCTGTAGGTTCAGTCAAAGGACACTCAGTGGTCTGAATCATCTGTATTCACGTTTTCTTTCATTTCAGAAACATGAAAACGAGTTTAATGAAGCTGCAGCCCTGAAGGAGCTCTACAAGTTCATCCAGCGGTACTACACCGAGGTCAGAAACAAGTAATATCTTACCTGCTGCAGGTAGTTCAGACCTTAGCAACATGGTTCTAACTTTGACTAAACAGGCAGTGTCTCGTTCCTGAGCACCACAAACAAACAATAACTGAGCTCTACCTGGTGTTTCCTGCATAGAAACAATGGGCCTCGTGCAAGAACATGTTTGTATTCTTATCCTAAATTTCTCTTACTTTTGTTCGTATGAAGAGTTCGTACAAACATGTCACGTCAGATTCAACAAACTCTTCTACCTTCAGGAGAAGTGTGTAAATGAGCTGYGTAAACATGATGAATGTGTATCAGGTGCTCGTGCACGAGGAGATTAGCATAATTACCACCATAAAAACACCATATAAGGATATGTTTCCTGCCCACATACCAGGAAGTGTTCATTCATAAATGAAAACACAAAGTAAAAAGAAGAACTTTATGAGTTCTGAGAATAAAGTCCTGCTCTCAGAGATCMAAAAAAAAAAATCTGTCATTTTTAGCAGCGTCAGCTGTGGAATTAAAGGAGCTGCTTAAAGGAATGAAATGTGTTAATATTGTGTCTCCTGTGGGTCGTATAGACACAGAAATAAAAATCTAAATCATATTCATCTCTCTCTAGTCCTGCTCCGGTTTTTACTTTAGTCAAACATTTTTAGTTAGGGATGCACAATATATCGGTACTGATATCGGTATCGCTCTGATATGTACAACTGGGCCGATATTAACGTCCGATATTGATTTCCCACTTTTTATCTTTGTGTTTCTGTTTTGGGAGGTGAGATGGTTGGTTGAGCAGCATCTGTTTGATCATAACGGTGATATTTACGCAGCGTAACCAGGAATAACTGAAGTAGGGAGCCATGTCAGAGRTCTGGTCACTTATTTACGGTATCAAAAAAAGACCCAAGTGTGTTTGTGCGTATATGTATAATATAATTTGTGTGTTTGTGTAATATTGGTAAATATCTGTTATCGGCCATAACAAGCATCTTAAAATGTCTCCAAACTTTCAATTAATGCATAATTTAAGTTGGTTTTTAGTTTGAGATCTTCATATTAATATTGTAGTGTTATACAAGAGCATTAATAGCCAATTAAATTTAATTTAATTTAATTTAATTTAATTTAATTTAACCAATTTATGTCATTAGTCTACATTATTACATTTGAAATCTAATTCCAATTCAAACAGAATCAACTATTGTCAACATAATTATGGAGTGATTTATTTTCAGCTCAAAATATCTTCAAACTAATGAAATATAAAGTTATTAATGAATAAAACCCGTCTGGATAACAGCAGACTGACTGCAGGTAAAATATACGACAGATCTGTACCACTCGGGAATTATGTTCATATCTAAAAAAAAGAAATCGTAGAATACGAGAAAATTGGTGAATGATAAGTTCTCCTAAATCACTCGTACGCACAATGAACAAATCTGTACGAACGGTTCTGACATGAGGTCCAGTGATTTTACACGTCCTGTTAGAAACACTGAAACTAGGCGTACAACTGAATAAAGGTGAAATAAAAACAGAAATACTGTTAAAACTAAAAGGAAGAGTTGTGGTGAGCAGCTGCCATCTAGAGTTCTGAACTCTCCCACTTTCCAACTAGGAAATCCCAGTACAACTGGGACACAGCAGAGTTTTCTGACAAAACGCTGCTAAATGCAGATTTTATTTGGTTACTTTTAAACCCTGTGCAGCTCCACTGCAGGGGGACACTTTGATTTTAAAATAATCAGTGTGCATTATGGGAGATGTAGTTTGTCAGTGCTGGCTTTACAGAAGCTTATTGAAATAAAAGCTCAATAATCTTAATTCTGCAGGATTATTAAGCTAGCTGCTAGTTAGTGCAGCTAAAACCAGTGTGGATTAATTAATGATTTATTTATTCATAAAAGCTTCACTTTGCTGCAAATCTTAAACTTATCAGTTCTTTAAAAGGAATCCTGCTGAAAAACATCCTTTAGTGTTTGTCAGGAAATGAAAACAAAGAAATCCATTAGCAGCTGAGTCTGAAGCAAACTGAACCTAATGGAGCTTCTGTTCTAATGGATCCAAATGAGGAAGGTTTTAGAGGAGAGGAGCGTTAAAGATTACAAAAGTTGCATCAGTTTCCTTTGAGAAGCAGAAGTCGAGTTGTTTCCTTTAAATCCAACTGAAACTAAAGTGTTTCCTCCTCTTCAGATCAGAGAACAGCTGGATCAGAACGGAGCTCCTGCTGAGCTGACAGAACAGCTGCTGCACGTCAAACAGCTGTTTGATGGACTGAAGAGCTGCTCCTGGACCTGACCCAGTCCAGGTACCAGCTGCAGGTCTGAGAGCTGCTGTTGAAGCACCGCTAAACCCTGAGCAGCTGCTTCATGTGCTGCAAGAACAAAATGTCAATAAAGTTTTTATTTTTATAAATAAAACTGAACTTGTTTCTTTTTAAATCCACTGAAGTTAAATGTTGTGAAAGGAGCCGCTTTATACCAGAACACAGCAGCCTGGTGGGTGGACTCGGACCCTGTTGTGCTGTTGAGTCASAACTTTCAGTACAGAAACAAAAGGTCCAGTTTGAAGGAGGAGTCTTGTTGCCGTTYGTAGGTTTTATGTTTCTTTATGACGTATTTAATGTGAAATTCAATTCTAAAACTTTGATTTTACCAAAAGATAACTTTATTAATGTGAGATTCTATGATTTACACATGTTTTTTTCTTGGTAAATAATTTTAAACACCTTGCAAAAAGAATTTTATATCCTACTGAACCACAGCTATTTGTTATATTAGTGAAAGTGAAATATTATAGGTGCAACAATCCATGTACCCGTGTCAAACTGTTCAATGCAGTGTTTTAAGTTCAACACACACCATGTATGGAACAATACAGATTTTTAACATTTATTTTACCAATTTGTCTTCTGAAGATGCTCTGTGTTGAAGGATCAGTGGATCTGTGTTCGACTACTCCACCTAGGCTGCATTGTTGAGCTCAGATCCACTGAGAAACTTGCTGTTTTGGCAAAATTGTATTTAAAAACTGTACTTTTGAGGTTAAACAAATGTTCATAATTAATTTCAATAAATTACAAGTTTAAAAGGACACGGAAATTTCTCTTTTTTGTATCGAAAAAATACTGAACCGTGAGACGAACCGAACCGAATCGTGAATTTCCTGTATCGTTGCAGCCCTATGAAATGTATTTTTTTTCTGTAGCTACACTATATTGCCAAAACTATTTGCTCATCCATCCAAATGACTGCACCAGTGCACAAAGAAGGGTCTMTAAAGACCTGGATGTCAGAGTCTGGTGTGGATGAACTGAACTGGTCTGCACAGAGTCCTGACCTCAACCCTTTGGGATGAATCAGAGCGGAGACTGAGAGCCAGACCTGTCCACCATCAGTCTGTGACCTCACAGATGTGGTCAAAAATCCCCATAAACACCCGTAAAGCTTGTGGACAGTCTTCCATTAGAGTTGAAGCTGTTCCAGCTGCAGAGGATGGACCAACGTCAGACTTTGGATTAGGACTGGGACGTCACAGAGGCTCATTTGAGTCAAGGCAGGTGAGAYAATACTGTTGGCAATATTGTGTAAATGTTTGTTAAATTATTTTCAGTCTCTTTATAATTACACACTTTTAGGGTTAACAAAATAACTGTGATAATAGAGACTGGATGATTTGAAAAAATTAACCGTGATCATTGTTTTTTGTTTGTTTGTTTTTGCCGTATAAGCCAGCCCTACTAACTCACCTGCTGCAGGTCACAGATCTCAGCTTCCTGTCCTTCATCTTCCTGCAGCTGAACTTTGATCCTGAAACCATGAAAACATGAACTGTTCAGAGAGCAGCCATGAAGACTGGAAGAAGACAAAGACCAGCAGCTCTGGATCTAAACCACAACAACTCTCAGCTCATTTAAAGTTGTATTTTTCTGATTAAAGTTTAGTTTAAGACCAGCTTTGTTCTCTCAGACGCCTCCTGATGGACCTGAAATGTGAGCAGAACCAACGGTTCATGGGTGGTATTTAAAGCTTGTGTACGCTGCTTTTCACRCCAGGGTTGTGATTTATAAAACCCAAACTTGACGTGAAACTGTGTGTTCCCTCACGCCAGCTCTGACCCATGCGTACGCTCATTGTCACGGGGTGGTGGGGGGATGATCAGCTGACTGATTTAAATACAGCTTAACATTCATGAGGTACTTTACATTGACTGTTTATGAGTGTGGGCGTGTAGAGGGTAGAGCCTGAGGCGGGACCTTGGTCCAAACTGAGGTGCAGCTGTGATCTAAAAAGGAAAATTGCTTGAAGGTGTGTGTGCGCACGCTTCTATAAATCTGATTTTTTTTTTTTTTTTTTTTTTTGGCGTACGCCATTTTCACATTTTGGCCGTACGTTCACTTTTAGTATGTTTTCCACGCAATCCTTTATAAATGAGGCCCCTGGATGTTAAACAGCAAAGTCAACCCTCAGTTCTACAATGTGACCAAACTGGAGGTTTTTCTTCTCTTGTTCAAACATCAAACTGAGACTTTAAGGCTCACAGATGAAACCTAAAAGAAATGTTTTCTTATTTGTCTTAATTGTTCAGACTTGTGTAAGTTCCAMYRTTAACTGAGARCTGGGAGTTAGTCTGGTGGTGAAGTCACTGGACTTTGGTGCAGGAAGATCTAAGTTCAAATCCCACCAAGTCTGGTAACAATATTAAAACATTTCTTCTTTTCCACTCAGGTAACTGACTAAACTTAGKTTAGTAAAACCTTRACATGAGAGCTGGGAGTTAGTCTGGTGGTGAAGTCACCAGACTTTGGTGCAGAAGATCAGGAGTTCAAATCCCACCATGGTAACAGTTTTGAAACATTTCTTCTCAGGTAACTTACTAAACTTAAGGAAGTTAAACCATTACATGAGTGCTGGCAGGTAGTCCAGTGGGTTTGTCCCATGACTGCTGATGCACGATTGATCTGGGTGCAGGGTTCAAATCTCAGAGCCAACTTAGCTCCTCAATGAGTGTCTGAGAGAGCAACAWGTTCATCACATCAAACAAGGGGTGTTTGAAGCTCCGCCCCCTCATCTGAATCTTTAATCTAATCCTATATGTAACTATATAGGACTTCTGCTGATGAGCTTGTTCCTGTCAAAGACACTTAATAATATAGATGCAAAATGTAGAACTGAACACATTCAATAACCTGAAGTTAGTAATAAATTAGCTGTGTGGTGGAGTGTGTCGGGACGGGTGGGGGGGTTGGGTTTGGGGGTGTGTGTGAGAGTGGGACTAAAAGTAGATGCAAAAGTTAGACCCAGATCAGGAAGCATAGCAGTGCCTACCAGCTTTTATTGATTCCACCAGGTATTTGGAGAGACTAATATAAGTTCAGACATGTTGAGAGAGCTGGCAGGTAGTCCAGTGGGTTAGACATTTAGCTGTTGAACC